TGTTTACAATGTAAAAATTGAATAATAGTAATTTGTAAATGAGGTGTGAAAAGGCATCATCATGTTTCGTCCTATTTTAATCCAGCACTTAGCATAACAAAGAACAAGAGTGAATTTTCACTTGATATTTCAAAGATAAAATCAAATTGAAGTAATCAATTTGCCACTTAAACATGTCATTTACTAAAGAACAATACGTACGTGTAAACACTCTAGACCACTTCACCTATAAACGTAAATGGAAGCTAAGCTCTAATTTGTAGGTACTATACGGTTGAGTAACGAGATAAATTTGTTCAATTGGTTTCTTGTCATTGTTTTAAGATCGTGAGTAAATTTCGAAATTTGCGAATATTAAAATGTGTGAAATCGAGCGTCGAGCGCAAATGTAAAAACAATAAAAGGTTTACGAGACATTCATTTTGCCATGAACGTGAGAGTCGTAATTTACAAGATAACAACAATTTCATATCTAGGTGCGACTGAAACAAGACGTAAACGGCCGATCTGTACACTGCAAATAATAGAATATTTATCGCCGTCTTTCATGGTATCATATGTAGATTCAATTACAAAATGCTTCGTGTTTATTACACTAATAGAAATATCGTTTTCGTAACATCCGTTATGCTAAAAATTTCGGGATTCATAGATTATTAGTTGATAACCTATATCTTGAAGCGAAATGCAATTAAATTTTTTTCACGTCTAAATTTTTGGCCTTCAACTTTGTAAATTTCGGTCAAATATCATTCGTCATTAATTAATGTGTTCAAGTAGTTAAGTAATCGTACCTGGAAAACCAACAATTAGACGTAGGCAAAGCCATCTTCTTCGGTAGGTATTTGAAACAGCATCATGTACCGTAATTTCCCTGCCCTTTTTTTTGTTAATTATTGCACGATTTGCTTCTTCATCATTAATTAATTCACATCAGTTATATGACTACTTGCTGTAATAGGTTGAATTTAAAAAGGGTCAAGGCAGAACTTTTGTCATAAAGGAAAAAAATATACCAAAGGATGACTTCATCCCCATATATAATCGTAATATAAGCACAACTTGCATGTAAAAACAAAAACGTAAAGTTATAATTAATTATATTTATTCATTTAGGGGTGCTGACGTGTTTCGCCATTTTCTTAGTGTCAATATGAAAAAGTTTGGCACATAGGTGAATTGAGCATAGCCAGTTTATTGTGATGCCCATTTTTTTAGGGGGCGGTTAGCCAGGTTCCGTGAGAAACTTTCTTGGTAACGGGGACCGGGGTTGGATTTGTTGGAGAAAATATTCTGGAGAAAAACATTACGTGAGAGAATTTCTCGTGCATCGAATATTGTTGATTCAATAGTCTTAAAATCGCGGTTTCGCGACACATTTGTGTAGAAAAAGCGCAGTACGAAACTATATTTACATATTTTTCATGAAGAATACGTTTTCCACATTTTTCTATTTTCCTGTACTAGCCTTAAGACTGCTTCATTAGATACCCTATCCATCCAGCTAATCCTCATGATCCTTCTACAGCACCACATTTGAATGTTTCTATCCTAATTTTGTCTTCCCTGCCTATCGTCCAGGTTTCGCATCCGTATAGGGCTACACTTCATATGTAGGTTTTTAGCAGCTTTTCCTAATTCCTATATTTATCCCGGATCTTGGCAGCTCCCGCTTTTGATCAAATGCTTTTTTTGCCTGCGCTATCCATGATTTTATATCTTCCTTACTACGATTATCTTGTGTAACCTTACTACCTAAATTAATTTAAAGTGTCGTTTCTATTCGGATCTTTACTTTATCTTTTTCCTATCCTCTCTTTTCGCGCATTTCATTAACTTTGTTTTTTCCTTGTTGATTTTCATACTGTAGTTTCTAGTTGGAATCCCCTGAATACCGTTTGGTCCTGTTTCTAGATCCCTTTCCCTTTCTGCTAGTATTACTATGTCATCCGCGTATGTCAGCATATGTATTGATTCGCCCTCGACTGGCTTACTGGCTGGCAGCAAATGAGGGTTCGTAGAAGAACGCTTGTAGAAAAACGAGGAGTCTACGTGTATCCATTCGGACCGTTTAATTAATAACTTTAGAGGCGCGGCTACATCATGTGGAGTCGGCGACATCTCGGCGCCATCGCCGAGCGTGGGTTTACTAACTTCTACAGTGTTGGTCCGATTGTTTTCATCCTGCGTGGCGGATTTTTGTGTTTTTTTCGTATGGACAAAATTAGCACCTTTTTGTAATGCGCGCGTCTTCTAGGGGTAGTAGACTTCGGGTGCCCAAAAAAGTTTCGTAAAGCTCGATTCGCGCTTTCTCTTTCTCATGTCTCGAGTTATAAAAAGTGACCCAAAAACTGAATATGTACTATTTTAGGGAGGGTTTTTAGCGAAAATCACCAAAACGCGAATTGCGGGTGAGTGGGACGTCGGAAGTGGGGAATAGGTAGCCCCCGATAAGATCTTACTGATGATGGAGTCAAAATGTCAAACGCGAATTACGGGTGAACGCGAAACTGGAAATGATTTTTAAATTTGTTCTAGATAATATAGTACTGTAGAATTATTGATTGATTGTGTGCGGAAATTGGTCATTAAGACTGCAACTGCAAAAAATAAACGGTGGTACATTGTATTCTTCTAGTAAATAAGACAGAAATTCAACAGATTTAGTGACAGTCTAGTTAGGACCTAGTTCACATATGTATTTTGTAGTGTCAGTTTTTATTTGAGAGAACAAATGATTTTTTTTTCATTAAAGTACTTATTTAATAAATAATAGCTTTTGAATATACAAAGATAATAGTTA